AAGAACAGTAAGTGGGGGAGAGGAGTCCATGTGAAGGGGACTCCTAGGGCTCCGTGGCCCCCAGTGGCTGTTTACCACTCCCACGTCCAGTTGGTGGGTTTTGTTTTGTCATGGCTGTTTTGTTTTATGTTTGGGTTTTTTTGTTATTGTTTTTGTTTTTTGTTTTTTTGTTTTTGGTTTTTTTTTTTGGTGGGTTGGTTAGTTTCGTTTGTTTGTTTGTTTTTCAGAAATCACTATGAAACATTTTGTACAGTTAAAGGGAATTAGCCCTGTCATAGCCTTCTGGATTTCAAAGTATACTTCGGGGAGTCATTCTGTTCCTACAATTTGGTTGTAAATTTATCAGAGTAGCGGAAGTTTAATGGTTGTCCCAAGAGATAGGAAATGGATCTTGATGCTTTTTATTCTTTCTCAACAACAGTCCTTTAAAACCTCGAATTCTTTTCTGTTGCTGTGACAAAACACCATCACCAAGAGCAATTTACATAAAAAAATGTTTATATGGACATGCTGTGATAAAACAGATAAAACACCATCATACACACACACACACACACACACACACACACGCCAGTCACTTTCTATTGCTGTCATTCATTCACTATTTCTGTCATTCATTCACTATTGCAGTCAGTCATTCACTGTTGCTGTCATTCATTCAGTATTGCTGTTGTTCATTCACTTTTGCTGTCAGTCATTCACTATTGCTGTTGTTCATTCACTACTGCTGTCGGTCATTCACTGTTGCTGTCAGTCATTGACATAAACTGCCTGACTTTTAAGCCACTCATGTTCTCTGTGCTAAAAATAGTTCCATATATATAAACTCAAGGTGATATTTCTTCTAAAAATATAGTGACAGAAAGACAAAATCAGACTGAGGACAAAATAAAAATTGACCTTCAGCTATATTTTTAAAAGTTATGTTAAATGGTTCCTATTTTAAAAACCAGTTGCATAAATCAGTCTATGAAATAGAATATATAGTTTGACCCTTGGGTGTCTTGGCATGAAACATTTGGAGGAGATGGGCTGGAGGAGTTCACCATTCTTCCTTTCTTTCATTTACATGAGTAATTTTCTTACTTTGTGTTTTTTGATGCCCTTCTCATCTTTGACTTTAGCAATTCTGTGATTTGAAACATGAGGCTTAAATAGATGCCATATAGAAAGGGCTCTAAAATGCTAAGCTACTTACATGGAAGCTTTGAGACCAATCAGTGACTTTAGTTCTTTAGGAAATTGCCCTGCCACACCTCTGCAAGATACAGTCTTGGTCTGTTTGAATTTGTTGTAGTGTATTGTGATGATTCACAGTCAAAGGTCCATGCCCTGTGACAGTGGCAAAGCAGAACCAATGAAGGACATTGTTTAATCTCCTGTTTATTGCTGGAGTGATGGCTCAGCAGCTAAGAGCACTTGCTGCTCTTCCAGAGGACCCGAGTTTGTTTCCCCACACCCAAGTTTAGTATGTGCGTTCAGTGCAAACGACTGCCCATGTTTTGTTGGATGTGAAGAGTCCCATGATTTTGTTGGGAAATGAATGAACTTTCAAAGATTTCAAATTCATTTCTAATTCTAGCAGAAGGACAACAACAGAGATTCTTTTCTAATGTTCAGTTGTCAATACTGAAGCTTGCAGCAGCAGCAGCAATGGAGACAGAGCCCAGCACAACCACCTGCAGCCCAAGAAGTTCCCTGACCCTTTAAAAAATTCCAGGAGGGGCCTGAGTACAGTAAATTAGTCACCCTGTTAAAGCAAGCTAGCTTTAAAAAGTAACCACCATTTAAAACTTACATAAAGTTTTAAAAGTAAGCAAAAACATGCAAGTTTATTTCCTTAATACTTTCTTTCATTTTTTAAAAGAAGTTTTCTTTATAAATGAAATCATAAGGTGGTTTTATGAAGTGTACTATTTATGTTCCAGGATTAGAGATGTAGAGAGTTTGACATAGTTAAACTCAAGGCTGCAACTATCCAGGCCCTAGGTATGCCTGGTCTGTGTCTAACACCCTGGTTTGCAATGCCCTTCAAAAACAAGAGTTGTCTTTGCAGGCCATCTTTACCAGTTGTGTGGACTTGCTGAGTATCTGACAGCATCCAGCAAGAATGTACTCCTTCCAGTGTCCTTTTGTTTGATCTGTCCTCCTATCCTGCTTCACTTGAGGTGACTTCTGCATACTTTACCCAAACAACTGTTGTCATTCTTACTTCTGGGTTGTGTCACCATCTCCTCCCTCTGATGACAGGAAGAAGGACTTTATATCATAGCAGCGGTGGCTCACATGGACCAGATTGCTCATCAGCCTTGAGACCATTGCTTGCTTTTTAGAAGTATTAAAGGCATGCTCTACGGGATTTTTCTTTGCAACTTAAACACTGAGCAAATCCAGACATCCAGAGTTGCTGAAATGAAAAACATGTCTCCTCTCATGCTGCCATTTGCCCAGTGAATGCTTGTCAGACTACACATTCTATATATTTCAAGGAGACAATGTCACCCTTAATGTGTTGGCAAAGGCTGTCACAGAGCACTCTGAAGTCCAAGGCATAAGTACATCTGTGGGGACAGATTTGACAGCCTATATTGTGGGTGCTGGTTTGCCTTAACAATCGTAAAGTTTTCCTTCTTTTCTCTTTCACATTTTCCCTTTGTATTGCACAATACGAAGGAGATTTTGTTGACATTCATTCATAAGCACCATGGCTGACAAACACCCTTCTTTGTTGTAATAACTAATACTTCAGACCCTCTAAGGTATCTGTCCTTGATAAAGCACCTTCAAAACTTCATTTCTCCTGTAGGTTCCTGTCAATCACTTCCAGTTAACTCACTAATTGTGAGCATCTTCCATTCCCTTGTGATTCAACAACTTAATGTTCTTGATAACTTGTGAGGATTCTCTGTTCATTGGACGTTTTTTACTGACAATAAGCAAATATTCTTATAAAATTTCTCCCAAGAATCTCTATAGCATCATTCGTTTATCTACAGTAACTCATCTGTTTGGGGAATCTTTCCCTCCTATTGTTTTTTCACTCTGTGCTTGGTCTTGCTATTTACAATTCCAGATTATGACAAGTCCCTTCCCACTCTTCTGTGTGATTGGCAGATTTCAGGTTTATAGGCAGACACAGTGCACCAGCAGCTGCCATCAAACGACTCCCCATACGCGGCTTCCTGTGAAAGAAGTCTCTGAGAGATCAGACAATCTTCTCTAAATTAATTCCAAGTGCAGGCATCCTGTCCCTCTGTTCTTATCCTGTGAGAATTTTGATGGATCTGTCACAGGCTTGCCCACCTCCCTCACAGACTGCTTCCCAAACAAAACCTCAAGTCTGCCTCTCATATAACACCCCAGGGAGAGGGCAGCCTCCTGGGCATGGGGGAGGATGGATCTCACACACACACTGTGGTCTTGATTGTGGATGTTTGTATCTGTTCCTTTATGTGAGTGGTAAGACTGATTAAGTTGAGACATTTCTGGAAGTGTGGCAGGTGAGCCCTGGGCTGGAAGGACGAGGAGGCCACCTGTGTTTGAAACTCAGGAAGAGAAGGAACTCTTGTGCCCACGCAGGGTTAAAATGCTGAGAGAATGCCACATTTTAGTTAGAGTTAGAGAAATGCATCAGAGCTTCTGCTTGAGTTCTGAGAGTCTTCTGGAGTTTATCCCCAGGGGACTTAAAAGGATTAGTTCTTAGAGGATTCACAGTGAAGGTATGTTTTTTTTTTTTTAAGGAAAAGAAATAAATTGCTTTAGTAAGGAAACTCAAGGAGCAGGAAGAAAAGTAGTGTGTCTAAATTCTAATGTGTATACCTGTTTATAAGTATGAATTGAAGCGTATATATCTTGTCATTTGCACAAGAATCCTGTGTAAAAATAATAAAGGAGAAGAACACCGGGGAAGGACACCAAATGTTGGCCAAATGTTCAACTCTGGATTCCACATGTACATACACATGTACACACTGACACTAATAAGTATACCACAACCACTGTCAGTACTATAACCAGCATCCCACATACACAAAACATGCATGCAAAAACAAGCTAAAATTTTAACATATATATATATGTATATACATGTATACATATCTATAATACATGTATATATACATATATATTAGCTTTAAAATATTCAATATCATTTCTTATATCAAAAGGTTAAATCAAGAAAAAAAATTAAGAAAAGCTCAACCAGGAAGTAAGATACTGAAATAGTAACCATGATCCTTAAATAAGTCATATAAGGCTTTGATACATCCTTATCCTGTCAAGAAGCTCACATGGGCCCCCTTACTCCTCTCCCCAATCATAAGGTTATATTGGGGTAAGCAAGAAATGCTTATTTAAGTCACAAATAAATGGAGTAAGCCACGGGCCTAGAAGATGGCACAGCAGGTAAAATCACCTGGCACCATGCCTGACAACAGGAGTTCATTCCCTGAGTCTCATATGGTAGAAAAGAGAACCAACTCCTGCAGGATATCTCTTAGCCTTTATACATATGCTAAAGTTTGTATGTACATTAGCATGTGTCCAAACATGTACACACACACACACACACACACACACACACAACATACTACATACCACACAAAAATTTAAATGTAAAAAGTAATCAAACTGAAATATTTTGATTCAATATCAAGAAAAATGAGAGGATTTCTATGACTATTCCCAATTTTCGATCAAAGAAATATATCAGAACAGTGGGAGAAGGGGTGCATAGAATTTATTTGAAAACACCCCTAAAGGTAAAAGTCAGGAGTATTAGACACACTACATATCAATTATATCACAGCAAAGGGGATTGCTGGTGCCAGACATTCACACATAACCAGAAAGATACAGCCAGGCACCAGACCATCCAAGTCTGAATTTATTCACTGTTTACTGTGAAAAGCAAACTCACCAAAGGTTGTATTTGCTCTTGAGAAAGAACATTTTCTTCCTCGTGGAACGTGTTTTCAGATGGACATTGTATGTGCTTTTAGGGTGCTGTGATCACACCCACCATGGACCATCCCATGTCAATGCAGCCAACTAACATCGTGGGTCCCCTGACGCAGCAGATGAATCATCTTTCCCTGGGGACAGCAGGAACGGTGAGTGGAAGAATTCAGTTTGTTTCCTGGGACTTGAGAAGACACCATGTGCAGTTTTCCTTAGAATCACAAATATGCTGCTAGGCTCATACAGCTGTCATGTTCCAGCATGAACAAGCTTGCATGCAAGTTCAATCCCAGGGAACACTCACTCACACGGGCAAGGATGGGGGTCCTGTGGCATTGCCTTTAGACTTCAGGCCCTTCTCGTTATGTGATACAGTGAACTAAGTGCACCGTAGCTCTTTCTGGAAAGGGACCCTTCTGCCTACACATGTCGATCTGTACCTCCTGACCATATTTGTGGGCTGTTTTCCTTTCCCCAGATGTTTACCAGTTGACCCACTATCTTTCCCAATTCCTTCGCACATAAGAGGGCAGTTTCAACTGTAATCAGTGTAAAGACTTTTTATTCACTCTTAATGTCTGAAGTAATAGGAAGTCACTAAGAAGTTGACCCGGTTGAGTGTTTATTTCTCCTGTGGATGTATTGGCATAGTGACTATTGAAGAGAAGGAAGAGAATCTGACATGTTTAATCTTTTCTTAGAGTTATGATGCTTTTGACTACTCTTACTCTCAAAAAGTGTATTCTCATTCGCTTCTCTGTTGCTGTGATAAAAAGCAACATGGAGAAGAAAGGGTTTATTTGGTTTACAGGTTACAGTGCATCATCAGAGGAAGCCAGGACAGGAGCTTAAGGCAGAAACCTGGAGGCAGGAACTGAAGCAGAGACCATAGAGGAACAATGCTTACTGACTTGCTCAGTTAACTTTCTTATGTAGCCCAAGCCTATGTGACTAGGGAATAGCACTGCTCACAGTGAGCAGGGTCCTTCTACACAGATTTACAATTAAAAAAATGTCCTGAAGATGTGCTTACAGGCCAGTCCAATGGAGGTAACCATCCCGAAATTGCAGTTTCTTCTTCCCACTTTCCACTGGTGTTAAGTTGGCAACTAAGATGAGCCATCACATGAACTGAGAAAAAAGCCAGTAGCACACTTGATCTCTATCTATGACATGCTTGAACTCACTGGCAAAGCTTTGTATTTTTTAAGAAGTCCCTCTGATATTTGCATCTAATACACCCTAGAACACTAAACGTGTATTCAACATCACTAGCAAATGTAAGCACCATGGACTGACTACCAGCAATCACACCTTAGTGTTTAGTGTGCACCCTAGCACAGGAGATCTTGTCTTCTGTAAAGACATGGAGAGAAAGGGCATAATTTCTTTTAACTGACACAGGTTAAACAGCATAGAAAGAGCCCAGGATCAGGACTCAAGAAACCCTGATCTAATTGAAACCCTGAATTGTGCCATTTAGGACATAAGGATCTCAACCTCCCCCTCTGTGGTGCAAGATCACTCACTTTGACATGTGAATACCTTACACTTCTGACTGTGTTTTTAAGCTTATGTGTCTCTTTGATACTGTCTCTATGGGTCTCATAGAGGCACTGTGTAATACTAATATGCTTTATGGATATTAACTGTGGATGGAGGACCTAGAAAAATGACTCCCTTTATCCAAAGGATGTAGAGGAAAATCACATACTTCCAAGAAAGAACTTTAGTTTTTCATAAGCTATACACTTGTTCCCTTGTAATGTGGCACTGGTGATAAGTTACCTGCCCAAGAGTCAGAGCTGGGTCATAGAATTACATGAGGTTATACCATGGTAAGATTACACCATGGTTCAGAGCATTTTCATTGGGGAGATAGTTTCAGAATAATATTTGTACAGCTTTTAGTTAAGTGTAAGGATGATTTGTGGTCTCTTTGCGTATTCCTACTAAAGCAGATTCCAGATACAGGGTAGGATGGCCCAGTGCTTCTCAGCTCTCCATGGTAGTCCTCTCACTCTCAGGTTCTCTGTTGATTGAGGATAAGTGAGAGTAAAGAATGAAGGCTTATTGTACTAAATGGCAATCTTAAGTGTGATGTTTACCTGTAAAAAGTGAGCCATAATTGGAAACATAGGAAGAAATCTTTTATACTTTTTACCCATTTGACTAAAAAGCCAAGCCAGTTTCATTGCTAACACTTCGATTGCCAATGAGTAAAGACACAATATGTCCCTGACTCCTAAAAAAAGAAAAACAAAACCAAACAAAACCAAAAAACCCGAACAAACAAACAAAAACAGAAAAAAAACTTAAAAACCCCAAACTGTAAAAAGAAAATAGAATAGATCTCAAATTATTGTAGTTCTTAATTTAATAAATTATTTTACATTGTATATCTAAGACTTTTCAACTGGAACAGAATCAGATCGGACCACCACTTTTAACCAGTTGGCAACTGCCAAAAACAATCATTTAATGATTTACTGTGGACCACAGTAAAAGTAAAAGACTTTAGTACACAGACTCTATTTTTAATGTCAAATTTCCTGTTACTTTTTTCTTGTTTTCATTGTGTGCTTTCACTATTGCAAGCAAACAGTGTTTAGTTACAGTATAAGGATCATATAATCTTAATTGTTGGCAATATGACATTAACATTAGAAGTTGGCGACTTGATACGGTTTTTGAGAGAAGAGCGAAGACACATTATTTTGTTGATTCATTCAATACTGTAATTGAGCACTCTCAGTGTCTCGAATATAATTATTTCTTTGTTAAACCCCCTTCCTCACACCTTGTGCCATCAGATACTTGCTTTAATATGACTTCTTTTAATTGGCATTTGCTGTGGATTACCCAGTTGAGGTTGATTTATTTAATTGACTTTTCCCACCTAAGTGGACCCATCTCACATCTCCCTTACTGGCACTTGGGAGATTCCAGTCGACTTAGGAATGGCATCAGGGTCCAAAGCCCAACTTGGTTTTGTGTTGGCCGTGCATGTTTAGGCCATGCTTCACTTCCTAGATTCATTTCTTTTATTACAAATTGAGAACAGTAATACAGTATACATCCTTGAGATGTTGTTGAATGGCAGGATACACAGCAGCCCTTATGTACTATGTGACAGTAGGTACTTAACAATCAAACCATCCTTAACCTGGTGTGAGTTTAGGTTACCATAATGGATGCACCACCCTATTAAACCAAGGGGTATCACTTAATTCTTTAACCTGTCCACTGTGTTAACTGCTAACATAATCCTCCAGGGTTCCAAAGCTAATGTTCTAGTCATGTGAATGAACGAACTTGATGAAGTTAAGCAAATTGCCTTGAACATACAGAATCAAGGACTCTCTGTATTGACCACATTATACAAATATACATGACATTGAAATGATAACCCAGAGGGATTTCCACTTCAATGTAATACCTTTTCCTGGGTGTTGAACACCTAACAGATGGAGATAGCACTTTGAGTAGCCAGGAATATGAGAATTTTGTGTAGAGAGCAGAACCATGAGCCATTTGCCATCAGCTATTGCCCCATGGGTACACAGATCCAGGATGGTCTCAGTGTTCAATTTGTTTTTAATATAAGCTGTATGTAAAATATTCATGTATTTAGATATCTGGCCCTGTTTGTCCAATAAACTCCCAGATTGTACCTGGTTATCTACCCCTTCTCTCTGACTATTCCTCTGTCCTTCCTTTTGCAAGCTCAGATAACACCTCACTACTCAATCTATACATGCTTTCCTTCAGCAATCCTGCCCACGTGCATGGTTCCCCCACACCATCTACCCCATTGAAGACTCTTAAATCGAAGTCTTCAATGCTAGTCTCAGAATATCAAATGCATCTATCTGGTCTCCATGGAGATCCATCTTCTACATATCAAAGTCACTACAACTCACATTCATGTCCTGGACATCCTCAAGCTTCCTTTCAGCCCTACCCTTCTCCTCTTCTGTGTTCCTGTCCTGTTTTATTTCAGGTCAAAATTGTGATTGTCTGCCTAGTAGCCAAACTCTACACTTGGGACTCAACATATACACTGTCCGTCTTCCTCTCCTCCACATGCCATTACTTTAAGTCCCAGGAATTAAATCCTAGACATTTGTCAGATCTACCCTGTCTTCCCCCTTTCTTGGCTTCCTCTGGAGTGTTGTGTCAGTCTCCTAACTGTACCTCCAGCTTTCAGTCTCAAAAGTCCACAGTTCATCCTCCACTCTGTCATCTGTACTATGTGTTAGTCACTTCTTGTCAGCATGATAAAACCTCCTTACCAAGAGCAACTTACAGAAGGGAGACTTTGTTTGGCTTAGAGTTCCAAAGGAGGAGTCCATAATGCCAAGGAAGGTGCAGCAGTCAGTGGCAGGAGCAGGAACCAGTGTGATCACATTTCCGTCACACACACAAGAAGTTCAGGGAGAGACCAAGAGGCATGATGAAGCTCTAAATGTTCCACACCTGCTCTGAGTGGCCTGCTTCCTCCAGCAATGTCCTGCATCCTGAAAGCTCCACAATTCCTTCAGTGTCACCAACTGGGGACAAAGTGTTCAAATCCCCGAGCCCGTGGGGTACATTTTTCATTCAAACCTCCATTGCTGTATACTGGTATCTCTCTCCAACGGTCTTCAGAGACTTTTAGACCTCTGAAGCTCTTGGAAATTTTATAAAAAGTGAGAATTAGAACAGAAACAGTCCAGGAGTAGGTGGACTCCCAGGGCATAGTGCAGTGAGATTTAGAAGATAATTCAGGGTAGGTACTGGTCAGGCTGCAGAACAAGGAGCTAGAGTCGTACTGTCCTGTTCAAAACAGAGATAAGGCCACTAAGCACCCTATTTTCCTTTTTACGATTGTGACAAAAGGAGTCATGTTGAACCAATGCATACTTACTTTTTGATCTTCCAAAAGGCAGGTATATTTCATCTCAGGTCACCTCAGATTTTAAAATAATGTCGTCTAAAGAATTTCCATCTGGAATTTTTCTCTTCAAAGTGTATTGGTTAATTCTGTACACAATTCTAAGCTGGGCTGAATCTATAGGCTTTAAGCTAAATGAATTAGATGCAAACAAGGCACCTATTTTATGTCCCAGCTCTAACTTTGAAGGATTTTTTTTTTACTTCTCCTGCTTTTGTTTATTCTTTCTCACAGAATTCCTTCGATGAAAGCAAAGCCCCATTATCCATAACTTTTTATCTAGTTGCTGGGAGCTTTAGCAGAAGCCACCTGAGACTTGAGTGTGTTTTAAGAACCTCGATATTGCATGAAAATCTTGTTTTACAACTTTCTTATCTCCTTTTCATTTGTTCAGCTGCTGGTCACTAGTGGCTTACAATGTCACTGGGATCTGCTGAAAGAAATCAAAAGATGTTGTTCAGCAGGCTCCTTATCTCCCATGCAGGTTACCTTCCCCAGGCCTCTTCTGCACTGTGACATCATCCAATTTCCATGGTGTCAGTATTGCCATGCACAAAAACAATCCTGGAACTGTAGTCCTGATGAGCCAGAGTTTGCTGTCATTCTCCAGGCATGCCACTTCTCCACTGCTCCAAAAGTCTGATTATTACCAGATGAAAATATCTGTTATTCATTTTTTCCAACATTAGGCATAAATATCAGTATTGAGATGGAGAATTATAGAAGTGAGCAGAAGATCTTACATAGAATTATGACTCAGTAAATATCATCATAAGTGATAAATAGCTTCATAAATACTAATGAATAATTCCTTAAGTGAATGCTCAAGAAAAAAAAATAGCAGCCAATTACAAACCAATACAAGACAGAAAATGTAGATGCAAAGGTTGTGTTTTTTTAAATAATTCTTTAATTTTAACGTAAAAGTTTCTTACAGGGAAGTTTTCTCATATGAAGAATGAATGAAGAGTTAGGGGCAAGTCTGTTAGGGGTGGAGAGTTATTTATAAATATAAAACCTTTACTTCTAGGAATATGGATCTTGAGTTCATATAAATTAATATCATTAAAGAAAGATGAGTGAGTTGGGAATAAAATAGGACATGGAAAATTGAATAATATAATCAAAAACTATTATTGCTATAATTTTGCAAATATGCATATAAGCATACACACATATCAGATAAGATAAATAACCCACACACTATTTATAAACATGGAAGAAAATTAACTTTGACAGTGCTTTCAGATTGTACAGCATCAGTTAGAAGCAAAGTGTTCAACCAAACACTTCAGCACACATCCCCTGATTGTCAACTTTCAATTTTGAGAAGGTGGTGAATGGAAGGATTGTAAAATAAAGGAGACGAATGTTATGCCTCAAAATACTTGTTGTGGTATTATAGACAGCATCTAGTACAGAATAGTTAACCAACCACTATCCATTCATCCACAGACCCAACAGTAGCACAGCACAAAAGCACAGCAGTCTCATACAAGTAGGAAAAGCATTGTTGATACGATAAGTCAAACGACAGGTCTGTGAACTTGCTTCTGTGGAACACAGTGTAACTCTGAGGGGTTACTTATAAAGCAATTCTGTCAAGAAATTCAAATTGGGTGGAGTCTGGAGAGGTGGCTCAGTGGTTAAGAGCATTTGCTGCTCTTCAGAGGGCCTGAGTTCAGTTGCCAGCACCAACATTAGATGGCTTATCTTCCTGTTATCTTCAGCTCTAGGAAATCTGGGGCCCCCTTCTGGCATCCATGGCTACTGCACACATGTGCAACTAAACACATACATATAGATTAAAAATAAAATCAATCTCAAAGGAAAAGGGTACAAAACAAGTGTGTTTATTTTTCAAAACGAGATTGAAGTCGTTTCTATTCTTGTAATTTTGTTTGTATTCCTCAATTGCTAAACAGTAGCCAGTATTTACTATATCAGTATCTAGGCTTCTATTTATATTATAATTACAGATACGTGTATATTGTAACACAGTATAAACATTAACTCATGGTTTTCTAAGTTTTGGGTAGTATCTTGAAGTTTTATGGAAAGGTGTCTAGGAACTAAGATCACTGTTACTAACATCTTTGGAATTGCTATCAAATTGACTCTGCTTCACAGTGGGGCTGAGAGTCAAGTCAGTAGGCTGCTGGTCTATTTTGTGAGACCAGGCCACTCATAACTATCATTTATTTGCATCTGATTCGGAGCAATGCTTCCTTGTTCTTATCACCCTAGTTGCTTTTCGATGTTCACAGCCCTCTTCAGACATGCTATTCCCCCAAAAGAATGATTGTCATTAAACTAGGAGGCAGAAATGTGAATGAACTCAAAAGTTTTTAAGTGCATAAAAATGTACAGTTAGGGGGTCTAAGCTTTTAAAGGGCAATATAGGTCATAGGAATAAAATAAGAGTTCACATATTGCCATCGATGCCTTCATCTTTTCAGAGACCTGGGAGTGGGCTCCTTGTTCTCAGTTCTTAGAAGGTCAGTTGCAACACAGGTTCTGCACCACTTTTCTGGTTAAGGGCTAGTTAGGAATGGGAAGAAACGTAGGAGGATATGAGAAAGGGGGCCAGAGAGGGCTGCAGGGTGTGGGTAGACATGACAGAAGTTACATGTGCATGTATTGGAATGCAATAAAGCCATCATTATGTATAATTGCTCTGTACTAACAAAAACACTACAGAGAAGATCATGACTGAGCTGCAGGTGTTAATGCCTCTTTGTCATGTTAAAGCAGCTGATATAGTCTCCAGCACCCCCCCCACACACACACATCCCTGGATTTGCAATGACTACTTATAGTGTATCTTTCTCTACATTTTGCCACCTCCAATGTTATGACACTTTGAAAATAGCCATTTATCCTCTGTTTCATAAGATATAGCCTTGGTAACTACACACAAGGTTCCTCGGCCTGGAGCAGAGAGTGTTCTGTGTTCTGCCCCTGGTCAGGATGATAAAAAAAAAATAGTAACTTGAGCTTTATAATACATTTAATTCATATGGTGTAAGAACATGCAGAACTTTTATTAATCACCTCTACAGTTACTTCTTTTATTCTCCATTGCTACCACACTTGGATGCCCTCCAGATGAGCTGTCTTGTAAAACTATTAAAACATCTGGGGAAGACAAGAGCCTCCCATTGATTCCCAAAGGGAGCAATCAAACAGACCAAGAGGAAGATGGTGATGTTCAGAGACCAATGGGTCCCGGTAGCATGCACAGCCAGCTGATACTGGAGTCTAAGAATCAACTTTCCTCTAGAGTCACAGTGCCTGGAGTGCTGGCAGAAAGGGGGTGGGGGCAAGTGACTGTGGGGCACACATTGGGCCCTTCCAACCTGTAAAGCTAAGACTCTGTTTTTATTTTCCTTTGGACTTCATTGCAATCTTTCTCATGCTCTTTTTCATTCCAAGATTCAATCCCAAGACAGAATTATGGTACTTCACCAGCTGTTATGTCAGGTAGGAAAATCTAATTCCTTTCAGACTTAATTGGAGGGGAGAGATGGAGTTTGCCTGGTTTTCTCCAAAACTCTCCAAAGCAGTGATTCTCAACAGGGGCTGGAGTGAGAAGTTTGCATTTTATTTTGGCAAAGGGAGGGGTGTGTAGTTATGAGTCTGTTTCCTAGGACAATCTGGCTTCATGTCTAGAAAATAAATATACTGTCTTTAAAATAAAAGTAAGGTCTCTGAGATGGTTGTCTATGAAAGATATGCAGAAGATTTAGTGAATGTTCTGTGTATCAGTGGGTCTCATGGTTTGACAAGGTCATCAGAATTTCTGACGAGTAGGAGAAAGATTTGACTCTTACCAAAAAAATAAAAGAACACATATTAATTTAAAAAAAGGATTGAGAAGCACTGCTTTAGAGACCAAAATTCCTCAGAAGTCAGAGTTATCCCTTGTGCTTGCTTGGCTCCTAGGACAGGATCTGATGTGTGTATTCAAAAAACAAATTGTTGAATGAATCAAAACTTCAATTCTTTTCTAAGACATTGTATTTGGGATATCAAAAGTGACACTTCTGATATTCCATTTCACAGCAAGGTAGCAGAAGTTGCTTTGAGGATACATGAGAGTCTTTGGCATTCAATTGGCAATATTTAATTGATTTGTAAAGTTAATGGTGCAATTTGGAGCTGAGCACATGTATGTAAAGAAGTTGGTGCTTTAAAAAAAAACTTTTGAAATGCATACTTTGCTTGCATCTGAACTTTCACTTTTGCTTTGTTGAAAGAGAAAAATGGGCACAACTGTTAAAAAAAAAGCAATTGTTTTTTTGTTAATTTATATTAACTAATTGAAGAGTAGTAACAAGCATGGAGAACTTGGAACTTTGAGTCCTTGGCATGTTTAGTGGTTAAAGATATTCAGATGGAACCAAAAAAGTTCATCACAAAGAATACATGAAACCTGGTTCAGGAAATGCCCAAAAGAACCCAGGGGGCAGTTGATCCTGGCAGCCAGAAGATGGCTTTCAGTGAAGAGTATCCTACTCAAGGCCCTTGCACTTTAGTGATACAGCGTCTAAGGGTAGCACTTCCTCCTGTCCATGCATCTCTTTAGTTATCCTCATGGCTGTACTCATACCAAAGCTGTCTGATTTTCCTGACTGAAGAGCAAAGAGTCGGCTTCCAACTAGACATCGCTTTGGTACTCTTGGTCTCCATGGATTGCCATTCATTAAAATGTCATGTGCCTACCATTTTAATATGTCTTTTGCATTTAAAACATGTGACTCTGTAGAGGAGACTTGATTTGTTGTGTATACCGTTTTTGTAGCATCTTCGTTTGACAAAAGGCTTATACTTCTCATAATTAACCAACATTAATGAAAAACAACCCCTCAACCAATATTTATTTTCATGAACACAAAGAATTTTGGCCTTGGTGGTATACACCCTTAATCCAGGAATTCAAGAGGCAGAGATAGACACATCTCAATAAACTCGAGGCCAGTCTGGTCTACATGGTGACTTCTAGGCGGCTATATGGTGAGACTCTGTGTGTGTATGTGTGTGTGTATGTGTATGTGTGTGTGTGTTTATGATAATGAATATAACAAGATACATACCCACACACACAAACACATCATATCACATCAAGATGATAGTTGGAAATGTTTATGCTCATGGGTTCCCCTCTATACTAATCAATATTGGCAAGAAACAATGTTTACCTTGGGAGTTCCCATATAATTCCACTGGAACTGTCAAGCAGATAAATGACTTACTAAACATTAATACCTTAAAAGAAACTTAAGCATGTAAGTATGTGTTTGTGGAATAAGAAGTAAAACCACAGAGGAAAATTAAAATCCAAGATATGGGGCTTGTGGTTGTCTCAATCCCTAGAATGCTTACAGGAGGCCCTGAGTTCAGCCCTGTAGCATGCACATTTAAAAAGCTAAACTATGGAGACAGAGACCAGCCAGTCTAGCCAAATAGATGAGCCCCAGATTAATGTAATACCCTACCTCAATAATAAATGTAGATGGATCCCAAGGAATGACATTCAAAGTTGATCCTTATCCCCAAATGTATGTGCATACATGCTTATCTGTACCTGTACACATGTGCACACATCTAAACATAGAGCCCCCAAACACACACACACACACACACATACATCCAATATGATCTGTAGCCAATAAAAGATATATTAAGTTGCCATTAGTGGAGTGTAAAGGAAGGGACCAATAGGACACATATGGAAAACAACACTTTGGGCTATTTGGGCTACTTTACACTTTGTTCATCCTTATAAAATTTGGATGTATTTGGACATATTGTGCAGTTGTCCTCTCCTTAGGCTTATGCCTAAGTAGCACTAGATACACTTTCAGTAAATGGTTGTTAACTGGCTTGTAGACACTTTGATTGGCTTTTGTACAACTGAGCATCTTTTGTCCAACTATTGATGATATTAGGAAAGCAAACTGAGTCTGGTAAAGTAATAACTCTTTTTCAAATGTCCCAATGTCCCAGTATTGAGCAATTTAGTTAATTAGCGTTTGCCAATATACGAGCCGATCAAATTGCTTTACTACACCGGAGTTCAAGATATTAACTTAATTATCCACTAAGATATAATCTAACCTATTCTCGTTCAACATTTCAAACATTATCAGTCTATTTCTGGGTGCTAGGTACTATGCTAAGTATTGAAGATATAAATATGAATAGAAAGCCCTACCTTAGTAAAAAGCCAACATCATAGTTAAATTTCTTTTGCTGTTTTTTTATGATGTTATTTGTGATGATATGAATATTAGAGAGAACCAAGAATGTCAAAAGAAGATTTGAGATACAAACAAGAAAAATGCATTTGAAGGAGGATTAGCAAATCTGAACAGGAGTTTACCAGATATACCACAGTGGAAGGTCTGTTAGGCATACAGCACAATATATGTCAACTCTTAGAATGAAGAATAGTATGAGGATATTGAATGGCAAATAGTCGTTTGAGAGTTGAAGGCAAAATACAGCTTTGACCTACATCACAGTGAGGTCTGTGGGATTCGCATTTTGAATAAGAATTCTTTGTTCAGTCATATGCCATCTGCTTTTGTTGCTGTTGTTTGGTTGTTTGGGTTTTTTTTTTTAATCTAATCTCGGTTGGTAACATACTATGTGTTAGCTTGTGTTCAGTGCTGGCAACAGAACTTCTCATTAGTGATGAAAGACATTAGTTATGAACATCTCACTACAACAATGTTAATCCTTTACTATTGATTGGTCAATTCATAAGTAAACTGTCCAAGTTCAGAAGCTACTTGTATCAGTTTTTGGTTGTGAACACTTGGGAAAACTACTGAACTTCCTGTAGTTCATTACTTCTCTGGGGAAATACTGATCACATGGGGTGGTTTGGAGCACTGAATGAGTTAAGCTCTACCCTCTGCTAAGAACAGATCCAGGCAAAAAATAAGTATTCAAATAATGTTCACTACAGTCACACTAATCATTATTGGCACAATAGATTATGTTGGTACAAGAAGGAACAATGGACATGAACTAGCAGAGGTTAGAGAAAGGCTCCAGGAAAAAAAAAAATCCTCTACATGTAGAAACACAGACACATGGCAATTAGCTAAGTAAAAACAAACCCAAAACAAAATTATAGTCGAACAAAACAAAAACACAAAACAACAACAAAAACAGAGCTTAGAATTCCAGACCAAGGAACAAACTTGTCCTAGGGCTTGCACAAGCAGAGGATGAAATGGTTGCAAAGTTGCAGATGGCTTAGCATGACAGCGATATGGCGAGAGATGGGGAGTGAGGAAATTAGCCTAAGAAGTAGGTCAGCTATAGCAATATTGTCAGATTGGGAACGTGAGCTGTATCCTGATGACAATGGAAATGTTTAGAGTTGAAGGATGACAGTCACCCTGCCTGTAGGATGGAGAATGTCCGAGAAATAGTCAAACAAACAAAACAAAACGAAACAAAAGAAAACAAAACAAAACAACCCTAAAAACAGAAAAGGGCCAAATGCACTGAAGAATCCAAGGAAGAAATCATGGTGGCAAGTTATCACATTCTGGGAATGACCATAACATTGACTGTTAGTGAGTTTGTGATAAGTGACAGATTTGGAATACCCTGGATGTTGTATAAACATTTAAGTATCAGGATAGTCGTCAAATTAAGAAAGCATAAGTCTTTAACTCTCACAACCCAGTGGCCCACCATTCCACTCTTCAGGAGCTAAGCTGAAGAAGGATCACATTGGCTAGGGAGGTTAATTTCTCTGCTGAATGTACTGACTTTAAGATGTCTACACACATGCCAGTGGAGAGGTTGATTACTGTTTCAGTGAGTGTATCTATCTTAACCACTATTTTTATACGGTAGTGAAGTTTGTGGTTACCTTCATGGGATTTAGCTCCATTGCCAGGACGAATGGGCTTGGATTTAGGACAAGTAGGCAGAGCTCTGAAAATAAACCTAGGAGCAGAAAATGGAGCCCAGGATGAAAATTGGAAAAGGTACCATGAACGCATAATACTGCCAGGTAAGAAGGACTTTCTTACCCCTGTAACAGACAAGGCAAACCAGAGGTTTCAAATATGTCACGAGCAAGACAACACAACATGATTTTATTAAACATGATCCCTAGTGAGACAGGAGGTGGTTCCACAGTTAAGATGCCCTTTACAAAGGACCTGGGTTCAGTTCCCAGAACCTTTGTCGGGTAGCTCACGCCACCTATAACTCCAGTTGCAAGGTATCTGAAGCCCTCTACTGGCCTCCACAGATAATTTTACACAGCCACACAGACATACACACACAGCCACACACACAGCCACACACACAGCCACACACACAGC